TCAAGGGAAAGTTTATGATGTTAGATCATTCTTTCAACTTCAGGCCCACTGGCCACAAGTTGTTCAAAGAACCTAAGTCTTAGTGGCTATTTTAAACTCCTACTATCCCAGCTCAGGAAATTAAGAAAAGATGACTTTAAATTTGTGGTCTACTTTGGGACTGTACCTTTGGCTGATCTCCAAGTCCTGACTTGGAAACTGTAATAGGAACAACCAGTGTAAAACTCGGCTCAATGCCTTTGGCATCTCTGAGGCAGAGCACGTGAACCAGGAACCAAGCCAAAAATAATTGGAGATGGATGTCAGAAATATATTCAAAGGCATTTAAAAAGTATTGGTGTCAATATGAAACAGAATACTCGTTTAAATGAGGGGTTTTGTTTCTGAAGTATTAAGTTCAGTCTTAGACGGAAACTTCAGAGTCAGGAACTGAAAAGTAGAACATTTGACAGCAGTGGTTCTAAACCTATAGTGACGTGTGAGCACTAAGACGTTTGTCAGACCAGGCATTTCAGTTGATATATAGATAATGTGTGTACCTCTGTGTGTGTGTGTGTGTGTGTGTGTGTGTGTGTGTGTGTGTGTGTGTGTTTGGGTAGTGGTGGTCAGAGGAGTCAGTCATTTTAAAAACCTCTCCAGGTAGGTCTGACTTGGCTTTTGCTCTGCCCTGAAAACTGCTGACCATGAACCTTGCCACAGTTGACTGTCTTATCAAGTCCACCAGTCAAGAAACATGAGCACAGTTTGGAGGGATAGAACTATACATAGTTAGGTTGAACTTTGCTCAACTCAAAGCGGGAGCTCGGTAAGTATTTGAGGAATATCGAGTAAACTTTAACCGAGCCAGGAAGTTTGTGGTGGAAGCGATGCCCTGATAACAGGAGTCTGACCAAAGCCCTTAAAGCCTTGTTCACATTATAGCACCATGGCCAAGCAGTAATGGCAGGGTCAGGCTGCCTGGTTCCAAATCTAGCTCTTCCACCCACTGGTGGTACAATTTTGGTAACTTACTTCTCTATGCCTCTATGTCTATAAAATGAAGTGATAATAGAGCTTATTTAGGGACTTTAAATGAGCATCCATGTAACACACTTAGAATGGTGACAAGTACTTAGTAAATATTGACTTTTTGTTAGCCATCATTATGTCAACTTTACTATTATTCTCCCATCTTTGACTCAATCTTTTGGCTTATGTTACCTGTTTTTCCATCTCTTCCTCCATGAGTTTTTCCTCCAGAGAGTTTCTACCCAAATAATTCTTTCCTGTCCTTTAGGTCTTATTCAAACCTGACCTGCCCCATCTTCTTAACCAGCAATGCTCTTTTCCTGGTCTGAATTTCCTGGGCAATTAGAAACCACAACATCCAGCACCACTTCTGGGCTATTGGATTACACCAAGAAGTAAAGGATCAGTTTTATTGTGTGCTATGTTGCTTCATTGTTTTACATTCTTGCTTGGTTACTTCTTGTTGTGAATGAGATTGTAAACTAGTTAAGGGTCAGAGGTTAAAGCTTCTCTATCTTTTGTAACCACCATAAATCCTTACACAATGCCAAGTGTAGAGCTAGTGAGGAGGTATGGCAGAGGCGAAGACGTGGGCTCGAGTCGCCTGCCTGGGCTCAGGTCCAGGCATGACTAGGAGGTGCTGTGTAATCTTGGGCAGGACATTTCACTTTTCCAAGCCTCTGCTCATTATTCTAATAGTTTTTGAGGAGTAAATGATATAATTCATAAGGTACTTAGCAGATAACTTGGCAGTTTTTAATTGCTCAGTAAATGTTTATAAACAGAAGCAAGAGATGGCATTGAAATTAATAGGAGATTCCTGATCCATAGTTAAGATCCTTATTGGGGTATTATTCTGAGAACCTTGTTATTTCATCTATATTTGAATCTCCTTCAAGCTGTGCAGGACAAAGAATTCCAAAGGACCCTGGCACTGCCCAGAAACTCACTTTTTTCAATGTAACCTTCTCCATATTGTCGTTTGATGTCTGGAGACAGTTGTTCCCAAATGGCGAGTTTTTTTTCAAGTGTCTTTACTGGATCTGCCAAGTTTGTTTTGAATAATCCTGGTTCAATGCATGAGACGTGCACACCAAAAGCTTTCATGTCCCGTCTGTGAAAAGAATTCATTGAAGATGTTTAATTCAGGTTCGTTTAGAAAATACTTGCTATTTGGGTGACGATTTTCTCGTGAATATTTTTATGGAATCAGATTTGGGTGCATTGGACAGAGGTACCTCATTCTCGCTGTCATTTTGCAAGTGAGGAAACGGGTTGAGAGTGGTGAAGTGAGGGCTCGTTAACGGCAGGACGGGAAAGGGATCTGGGTGGACCCACCCCCAGTCCACTGTTGTTTTTCCTAGAGTGTTCTCCATGCTCTCATCATTATCTTAGTGAGGATTCAGGATAAGGACAGGTTTCTTATCAGTACTTAAACCACCTTATGGTGAAATGAACTAATGACAACCTGGATGGACAAGTTCACCTCCATTCTAGGAACATAAGGAGATTGCAGCACAAATGAGGACATGCAGAAGTACACAGTACGATAATCCCTGACATGACTAACATGCTCCCTATGCTGTTGAGCAAGCTTTTTTGTTGTTGTTGTTAAATCATGCTGCTGCAGAAAACCGAAAACCTCCTCATTGCCTAGGCATCAAGATTTCACAGGAATCACAGTGACCCTTTCTTTAAAGCAAACCAATATGCAGATGCTCCTTGAATTCAGATGGGGTCATATCTTGGTAAACTCATTATAAGTTGAAAATATCCTAAGTCAAAAATGAATTTAATATCCCTAACCTGCAGAACATCACGGCTTAGCCTACCCTACGTTCAACGTGCTCACTTACACTGGCCCACAGTGGGGCAAAATCATCTGGCCACACAGGGCCCTGCAGGATAGCAGTTCTTTACCCTGTGACTGGATGGCTGACTGGGAGCTGGGGTTTCCCGCCACTGCTCAGCATTGCAAGAGAGTATTGTACTGCATATTGCTGCCAGTAAAAGATAAAATTCCAAATTCTAAGAAAATTTTATAATGCACGCATCTCACTTTCACACCATTGTAAAGTCGAAGAGTCACTTTTAACATTGGAAGTCAGGGACCACCTGTATAAAAAACTAGTGTATGAACAACCATTTCCTAAATTTGATTTCTGTTTCTACCGGGAATGTATAATAAAAGGAAGTATTTTTTCATTTTATAGAACTCTTCATAGGATTTTTAAAAAGCTCTGTTAGTGAACTTACAATGTAATTTATTTTCTCT